AGGAGGATAATTGATCGGCCCGTTCCTTGAAATAATCGAATCATCGACTTTTTTGATAATAAATTTGGATTCTTTGTAGACGTTGTTGAAACGTGAGCCTTTCCATGATTAAATTGTAGACATTTACAAATACAAATATTAATGTCACAAATAAAAAATTGCCGCCGTGCATGAGAAGTGTCAATGTAAAAATGGGGCGTTTCCAATGAAAGATCCTTTATAATATTTATACTTAAAGTTCTCTGCATTTTTGTTAGTTCAGTATTTTTTTAAAATTTTAAGTCGATTACAGGATTAGAGGAACTACTAGCTTTTTCCTATTTAAGTTTCTCCCAATTTTAGTTAAGTTTCTTGTCTACAATATTTGTCGCTTAAATTAAATTTATTGTAATATTTATAAACGTGTCTTCACGAAGCCTCATTATGCGTTCTTTCCAAAAATGATTAAATTTATTCCCAGAATATTCTTGATGGTGCGTGTTTATTACGCTTACGCCTTTATCACGAAGAGAATTTTCATCGATTTGCTCGCAGCATTTACAGAACAGCTCGTAACATCTTTCCATTTCTATAAAATGCATAAAATAGCTTTCCTCGAATGATGTTCTTGCTTCGCAACAATTGAAAGCTTGTTTTCTTATGCAAATCGGATATACAATATATGTTGTTTAAATTAAATTTATTGTGATTCTCTCACGATGTCTCATTATCTTTTTGTTCCTAAGTTTATTAAAAGTGTTTGCAAAATATCGATCAGATTACGATTAGGAATTTGCCGTCTTAACCACAGACAGAATTTTTGTTCATTGAGTTTTTTGCAGCGTTTTGCAGAATTTATAGCTTCAGCTTGAGAAGCTCGAAGTTCACAAAGCCTTTGCATTTCCATAAAATGCACACGACGAAATTATTATCGAACGTCTGTTTTTCTAAGACCAATTCGGTTTCTTTTTTTACATCATTTTTTGGCTAAGACCACGTGTCATATCCAGGGTCAAGCCTTGAAAAATAATTTTGCTGAAGAAACAAACCGCACTAAGAGATCCCGTTAAGAAGGCCATTCTTCGTCACTAAATGCTCCAATCTCAACTGAGAAGCTAAAAAGTGTATCTTGATTAAATGCTCATGAGTCGTGGTGCTAATTTGATCCCATCCTGCTGGAACCACATGTCTTTCAGTCCAGATCATAATCTCCCATTTTTCTGCAAAAATAATCGGTTAACATGCGTCCATAGCGCTCAGAATTCAACGTTATGGCTCTTCCTCGATCGTTTTCAAAAAAATACGGGCCAATATCACCACCGAACCATAATGCATACCATACGGTCACTTTTTCAGGATGCAAAGGCTGCGATCACCTAAGGATTTTGAGAGCCCCATATACGGCTGTTCTGTTTATTCACCTAACCACCGAGCGAAAAATGAACTTCATCGCTGAAGAAAATTCGGTTCGAAAAATCATCAACGGGTTGTTGTTCAATCATCCAATTTGCGTATGTTCTGTGTTGCCCATGGTCTTGAAGCTTAAGTTCTTGAGTCAGTTGGACTTTGTACGAATGGAGCTTCAAATCCAATTGCAAAATTCGCCACAATGAGCCGTAGGACAAGCCCAAATGTTGAGCACGTCGGGATATTGACGAATTCGGGCCTTCCTCCACACTTTGAGCAACAACAGCGACATTTTCAGCTGAACGAATATTGCGATGATGCACATGCCTTACAATATCAGTAACCGATCCAGTCTCTTCAATTTCTTCGACTATCTTCGAAATTGTTTGCTCTGTTGGTCGATTATCTCGACCGTAATCTGCTCGTAAAGCCCTAAACGTTGATACAGCAGAATCACCATTTTTATAGTAACATTTAATCATTTTTATAATCCTTCAACTAAAACAAAAACGCTTAGGGTGACGTTTTAGGAGATAATCTTAAAGTACTTTAAGAATTAGCCCTCATCCTAACTGCGAGAGTGACCTGGTACATCTAAGAAATCTTCTGAACATTATCTCACCATGACGAAAGTCACCCTTAACTAGCGTGAAAATTTTCAAAGGACCAATTTGCAAAACCGACTTATCTCTTAACGACCTTTTTGTTGTACGTGACTCATTTTGTATTATCTTCCGCACAATGTTAGACATAAAAGCGGCTAGAAAGTCTTCCTGAAACCCAATTTGATCTTTCCGCGAAATTTGCGAGTGTGACATTGATTGGAATGCATGACTCACCTAAAGGAATGTGAGTTCGGTGAAGAGTGGGAGACGGTATTTCTACAAAAAAAAAAACAAATTCATACAATAGCGGTTTACTATTGTGTAAATTTGACTAGATGATAAATTCCCGATCTTATCAGTGTCTTTCGGCAAGGACACACACTTATTAGACTACCGCTGTCGAGGAATGTGTTATTCGTACTACTGAGGTGGTCCTCAAGAATGTTAATAACCTATAAAAACTGATAGGAGAAAAATTCGGCATTGCTGCCAGTGAAGGGGGAGGCGGCAAGAAAAGGGATGATGAAAATATTTTCACAAACTGTTATCTATTCTCATTTGACAGGCGTTGAATAGAGCAGCTATAAACACCGGAAGATCCCTATTGTTCATCGAGGGTTAGCATGATTTTGCACTTAAGTTTATTGTACCTTATTTCAAGTACCTGTACGCAGGTTGGTAGGAGCGGCAGAGCTGGATTAAGGAGCTTACCGCCTTATGGGATTTACCAATTTTGTTCAAGTTAGTAATTGGGATTCATCAACCAGCTGACAACCATTTGAGGCCGTAACTTATTCGATTTGGCCACTTCTTTTTTAGGTTTCTATGGACGTTTTCATTGTTGTTTTATATTCTTTCTTTTCGTTGCTGCAATTTCTGTTTTTCTTAAGTTTAACAGTGTCATCCCATTTCCTCATAAAAAATCAATCAGTTTTCATTGTTTAGCTCTTCCAAGTTCCAGCAACAGTAGGAATGTATTTTTAATGGAAAACAAAATTCCTGGTCTTTGCCTCGGATCAGCGAAATTCTCCGGAAAACTATAAAAATATTCTGTATTCATTTTATCTGATTCCGAGACTTTCAATCGATTTTATTTTGGTTAGTTCTAACTACCAAGAACTTAATTGAGAGGTTTCTGTGAAAAACAACAAAGTCACTTTTTCTTGAAATTGAGGTGGCAATGCTTTCACGTTCAACATACTGCAATGGAACGCTGCTGTTGGATGTTTAACTTTCCCGTAACAAGCACAAATCTCAGTGTAAAAGGCACTAAAAGAAGCGGCGGTTCCATAAAAACAACAGAAGTAAAAATATTTTTCCCGTAAAAACAACAGTTGTCTATGACATTTGTTGTTTTTGCGAGAAACAATATATTATAAGATATTGTTAGCTTATGTTAGGTTAGGGCATTGTTTGTAGCTGATCGAAAGGGTGTACGTTGTGTCAAAACATTTGCATTTCAATTTCATTTGCAAGTATAATTCCATGGTTACCGGAGTTTTAAATAATTACGAAGCCACAGATATTTGCGCAATGTTAATTAGGCAGATTACCTTGAAAAACATTGCTGCCGTATTTCTGATATAGTTTTTTGCAAATTTCTCAGTTTTTAATAGCAATTAATTTATTTTATTATTTTTTATGTACTCCTATAACAGCGCCAGACAACACCTCCAGAGGAATGACGCCAATTTTGAATCACCCTGTATAGCTTCTTTTAAATACAAAATTAGAGATGGGGTCAATGAAGTACTCGTGTCTGCCAAAGCATTTTATGGGATATATGGAATCTCAATTGAAAGGTTATGCAGAATAAGATTAGCTCTTGTAAAGACAGGAAAATCTCCAAAAGATCGACGATGCCATCATGG